GGCAAGTCCATCAATATGAAATCAATCTTAATTCACTGGCTACTAGGAATGCCTAAGATCTCATTGTGTGGATTAGTTATCCTTTCAGCAATCCGACCATGCCATCATTTGCGGTTGGGTCAAGCTGGAAACTGGGGAAGAGAAATTTACACACACACCTCAGTTTGTTCAATCAGTGCCCAAATGCCATTTTAATGGAGCTTGTACAAACAAATTTTTTGAAAACATTTCTGAGCCACCCCTCACCCTCTCTAAGATGCCAGGGTAGTATGCAACCAGTTGTAATCACAGCTAGCAGATGCACAAATATGTGAGTTTCACTTCCTCTCAATTTCTTTCTTTCTTTCTTTCTTTCTTTCTTTCTTTCTTTCTTTCTTTCTTTCTTTCTTTCCCAATCTTAAGATCAGTTTTCCACATCTTGACAGCTTCTGATTTTTTTTTTTTAATCATAGCGAAAATTCATAGCATTTTAGCATGAATTTCTCAGAACATACACATCCATGCATACCTTCCAACATTTCTCCGATGAAAATAGGGACGTCCCCTTCCATAATGATCATTTCACTATTTATACCCCACACATCTGACTGGGTTGCCCCAGCCACTTGAGGCAGCTTCCAAGATACATAAAAACATAATAAAACATTAATTTTTTTTTTAAAAAACCTTCCCTATACAGGATTGCCTTCAGACGGCTTGGGGGCTGGATAACTCCATACCCTCCAACATTTCTCCAATGAAAATAGGGACGTCTTAAGGAAAAGCGGGACATTCTGGGATCAAATCCGAAACCAGGATGGCTTCTGTAAATCTGGAACTGTCCCTGGAAAATAAGGACACTTGGAGGGTCTGAAATAATTATTTCGTTCCAAGGTAGCGATAGGCAGTGCTTTTTTTCCCTTTAAAAATGTTTAGGGGTACTCTCATTTTGACTAAACTGGGATGGCTTCTCTAAATCAGGGACATCCCTGGAAAACAGGGAAAGCTGGAGGGTCTGTCCTTGTATGCATTTTTGCCCAACACACACAGTGTTGCAAAGCAACCCATCCCCCCACATAATGCATTTCTGTATTTTGTTGCCACCAATATATGCATTTTTAGGGACCCCGATATATGCATTTTTGTAATCAGTTCTCGACTGGCACTGCAAAATGTCAAGGGATGGCTGTGCTCCAGTTTTTGTATTGTTTCAGAAAGCACGAATTAGTTAGGTTCCCCTTTCGAGGGTGAACCGAATCAAATATCTCCCCCATCCCTATTTTAAAGCATGAATGCAGGAATAAGACATTAGGACACCTGAGTAGTCCGAATACCTGATTGCAGGAATCAGTCTAAGCACTCTCCACTCTTTCCTGCGCATTCAGATAGAGCGGCCTGGCAACAGGATCATTGTCATAGCTGTCAACCGTCCCTTATTTGGTGGGAAACTCCCTTATCCCAGCACCGTTTCCCGCTGCTGTCCCGGATTGATGATGTCCCTTGAATTTCCCAGGTTTCATGCTCGCCCGGCTCGGGAGGGAAGCAGCGGCTCAGGGTCCTCCGCTGTGCAAGAGAGCATGCGCACGAGCTGCCACGTCTCCGTCTCTCCCTTTCCCCCTCAGGGGCGTGTCGTGAGGAGACGGGTGGCGGCAGGCGGGCAGGCAGCCCCTCTCTTGCGAGACTTCCGCAGTGCTGCCAGGGGAAGCCGGAGGCGGCAGCGGCAGCGGCGGCTGAGGAGGCGGCCTTAGGGAGGAGGAAGAGGAGGGAATGGGGAGGGGAGGGACGCAGAAGGGTGGCACTTCAGTCGCCACCGCGGTGCCACAACCGGGCTCGTGGGTGGCGTGGGCAAGAGTCTCTCTCCCTCCCTCCCTCTCGGGCAGGGAAGGGCTAATGGAACTCCTCGCGCCAGGACGACGGCAGCCCCGACGTGCTGCTTAGCATACCTTCCAACTAAGCTAATCAAAATCCCTTATTTTTGGCTGCTGATCCCTTATTTTTGAGGCTGCTGGTCCCTTATTTTTAAATCTGTAAGTTGACAGCTATGATCATTGTGGGTGGGCCAGCACAGACCCTCTATGCATTAGGATTCCTTGTTCAGGTCTCTCAAGTGCCTGTTCTCCCGAAAGCCTTCCTCCAACCTTCCCTTTCTTCATTACATTTTCATTCCGCCTGCCACTCAAGGAGCTCACGGAGGGTTCTTTACTCTAAAATAAGGTTCGAAATTGGGGCGAGTCTTATACACAGATAGTGCAGATGCGGGACGGATGATTGGTTGCAGCTGAAGGCAGGAGCTTGTCAGCAGCAATTAGGTGGCTGATTGGTGGTTGCGTCAAGGGCTGCTGTGGATTGGCTGCCGCTGTGGCAATTGATATTGTGCGTGGGATTGGCGAGTGGGCAGACACTTCCCCCCCCACGACGTGCGCTATTGGCAGTGTCGGGTGAGTGATTTTCGGGGCATTCCCCTCCCCCAAAAGCTCCACGAATCTGGGCAATCTCCCCCCCCCAAAAAAGCTCAACAACTCTGGGTGATCTCTCCCCATTTTCTTAATTTGGGGTCCTCCAAAGTAGGGGGCGTCTTATACACGGAAAAATACGGTAGATTGGACTGAGAGGAAAGCGACAGGCCATATGCCACACCAACCTGGGCACTGCCCAGTATGAGTGTTGAAACCAGGGGGGAATCTACGCACATATAAAAACCGTTCTGAAAATGCTTTTTTTTAAAAAAGCCTTTTAAAAAATACATTGAATTTTCCATAAGGCTCACCATCGCCATCCAGTGTCACATTGTATATTGCACTTAAAACACACTTAAAACATTTTATTTGCAGCTGTATAGCTGAGTCCCAGGAATAGCAAGCAAGAATAGCAAGCAATGCCACCTCTGTATTTGGCTTCAAGTTACAAGAAAGGAAGTTCTGACGAAATACCAGGAAGAGCTTTCTAACAGTAAGAGCTGTTTGACAGCGAAATGGTCTCTCTCAGGAGATTGTGGACTCTCCTTCCTTGGGGGTTTTTAAGCAGAGGTTGGATGGCCATCTGTCATGGATGCTTTAGCTGAGATTCCTGCATTGCAAGGGGTTGGATTACATGTCCCTTGGGGTCTCTTCCAACTCTTCCAAGGGACCCCTGACCATTAGGTCCAGTCGTGGATGACTCTGGGGTTGCGAGCTCATCTCGCTTTATTGGCCAAGGGAGCCAGCGTACAGCTTCCGGGTCATGTGGCCAGCATGACTAAGCCGCTTCTGGCAAACCAGAGCAGCTCATGGAAAAGCCGTTTACCTTCCCGCCGGAGCAGTACCTATTTATCTACTTGCACTTTGACGTGCTTTCGAGCTGCTAGGTTGGCAGGAGCGGGGACCGAGCAACGTGAGCTCACCCCGTCACGGGGATTCGAACTGCCAACCTTCTGATCGGCAAGCCGTAGGCTCTGTGGTTTAGACCACAGCACCACCCACGTCCCAACTCTACAATTCTATAATTCTGTGATCCTGTGGGTTTTTTTTAGCCCTTCCTGTTCCTCAGAGAGACCCCAGGATGACAGGATTTACTTTGGGTTGCTATTTTATTAGAACTTAGAGATCTACCAATGGGAGCCAGGTGCAAAAGGCGTAAACGTGGGATCAAAGAATCCAGAGCCCAGGAGTTTGTTTGGAGGACCAGAACTGAATGGAGCTCACAGCCCTTCTGCCCTTCTGCATCCAAAATCCACTCTTGCTTACCCCAAACTCTCTTCATTCCAGCAGCACAGTTTAGCATGGCTGGGTGGGAATCGTTTTGTTGCTGCTGTTGTAGAACTATCGGGAGTCAGGAGTCCTTTCTGATTTTCTGCAGATCCTTGAAAGATATCACAAACAATAAATCCAGATCTCTCCAACCCAGAGCAAACCTGCAAACGCCAAGGTTGCATGTTCAATTCCCATATAGGAGAGCTGCATATTCCTACATTGCAGGGGGTTGGACTAGATGGACCACAAGGTCCCTTCAAACGCTGCAATTCTATGAAATGCATGCCACCTAAATTATCAAATCCCAAACCACTGAAAAGTTTAACTCAGAGTAAAACCACTGGTATTAAGGAACTTGGTGGAGTTTGCTTATTTGAAAGGCTCCACTGTAAGTAAAAGGGACACGGGTGGCGCTGTGGGTTAAACCACAGAGCCTAGGACTTGCCGATCAGAAGGTCGGCGGTTTGAATCCCCGCAACGGGGTGAGCTCCCATTGCTTGGTCCCTGCTCCTGCCAACCTAGCAGTTCGAAAGCACATCAAAGTGCAAGTAGATAGATAGGTACCGCTCCGGCGGGAAGGTAAACGGCGTTTCCGTGTGCTGCTCTGGTTCGCCAGAAGTGGCTTAGTCATGCTGGCCACATGACCCGGAAGCTGTACGCCGGCTCCCTCGGCCAATAAAGCGAGATGAGCGCCGCAACCCCAGAGTCGGTCACAACTGGACCTAATGGTCAAGCGTCCCTTTACTGTAAGTAAAACGTAGCAGAATGCCATCCTTGATCTTTGGAATATTTATTGCATTTCGAACTTCAGGTGAATTTGCAACAGAAACTTAAATAAGTTTTTCCAAAGAGCTCCTATTCAGATCTCTCACCCTGACTTCGTTTTTGCAGCTCCTTTGACAGACACATCTGGTGAGGGACTGCAATACCCACTATGTTCGGAAGAGGGTAGCATTAAACTTCTAATTACGTGGAAGAGTCTTCCTACAAACCTGGCAAATGTCGAAAGGGGAAGGGAAAAAGCTTCAGCCTTGGTGGGAAAGATTCCAAAAGCTTTGCTAAATAACATTTCCTGAACACAAATCCTACGGTTTGGTTTGTTAAAACCAGAATCTCTCCTCAATTCTGACAGAGTAAATCCGTAATCTGGAATTACAGACGTTTTCATGGTGTCATGTCGCATTATCTTCAAGCAGGGAGGCTGAATGGATTGGTCCAGGAATCGGGTAGGCTGAAGTGGTGCCGCTAGGTCTTTAAATACTTCCCCCTAACATACACAGCCACGGGTTTGGTTCAGGGATCGTGGGCCTTGTTGAGAAGGCAAATGGAAATCAGATTGGAAATAAAGCTGGTCGGAATTAATTTGGTCCGAATCGGACTTTTCTTAGCCAACTTTCCAATTTCCTTCTCTAAAGACCTGGTTGGGCAGCTGACATGAGAGGAAATCTTTGTTACTAGTCGGCCGCAGCGCAAGCTTGTCACCAAACAGTTCGTGGCGAGAGACTGGAACTGGCGGAAAGGCTTCCCGTAATACTGGCAGGACTTCAGCTGGGCATCGCCCGGGCCAGTTTTTGCGAGGCGTGAAATAAGTGGCCCTTCGATAAGAGCAGGAGAGCTTTCTGATGAGTTAGGGGCTATGGTTTCCAGTGGCATCCTGGGTTTTTCTGACCACCCACACTTGACTGAAGCTCGCCTGTGCTTGGTGTTTATCAAGGTCCTTCACATATCTCAGAATTGGCCCAGACGTGGCTCATATTGGTCTGATTAGTAAAAAGCAGACTGAGCCAAAAGGCAGGATTTAGTCAAAAGGCTGTGCAATGTTTCCCCCCTCCTCCCCTCTCCACTGGGATGCTAAGTTATATATATAATTGGGGGTGGGGAGACAGCTTGTTTTCAGTTCTGCAAGAACTGAACTCGGTCGGCGTGGGGTTGAAAATGCTGGGGGGCAGAATTCATCAGTCCTTATCATGTCTGCTTTTAAAACAATGTGTTTCTAGTCCTTATGAACCCAGCGTTTACAGGAACTCTTAGAATAAGCCAGCACTGCTCACTTTATCAGACCCCGAATGGGCTTCCCAGTTAAGTTCCTAAGTTAAGACTTCCTGATTTTCTTTCAGTGTTTCTGATGGGCCTCATGTTGAGAAGCATTATCCTCATCGAGACAGCAATTTATAAGGAGTATATATGACACAAGGGACGCGGGTGGCGCTGTGGGTTAAACCACAGAGCCTAGGACTTGCCAATCAGAAGGTCGGCGGTTCGAATCCCCACGACAGGGTGAGCGCCCATTGCTCGGTCCCTGCTCCTGCCAACCTAGCAGTTCGAAAGCACATCAAAGTGCAAGTAGATAAATAGGTACCGCTCCAGCGGGAAGGTAAACGGCGTTTCCGTGTGCTGCTCTGGTTCGCCAGAAGCGGCTTAGTCATGCTGGCCACATGACCCGGAAGCTGTACACCGGCTCCCTCGGCCAATAAAGCGAGATGAGCGCTGCAACCCCAGAGTCGGCCAAGACTGGACCTAATGGTCAGGGGTCCCTTTACCTTTACCTTTATATATGACACAAAGTAAATTTTGATATATTTTTGGGAGAAATGAAGGGAAGGTTGGTGGTCAGTGGTCATGCCTCACCTGGGATACGGGCATGAACATGACAGAAGGAGTTGATGGTCCCTCTCAGAGCCTGGGCCTGGGCAGACAGAGGTTGCCACGGTGATGGGGTGTGGGTTTGAAGTGTCAGCAAAAGAGATTCTTTAGCAAGGTGTGCTGGGAAGAAGAAGTGTGTGTGGGGGAGAGAGAGACGAAAGATTGGGATCCATCTTGGGCAGGTTGGCCGAAGGCAGGCCGGGAGAGAAGCCTGGGAGTTCAGGGCTGCCCTGCTGTGGGGACAAGCCCCTCTTGAAATGACCATGCTGTAAGATCTGGACTCTCTCCATGTAGAATGAAGGTGTAAATAGGTGAATAAACCATATTTCTTAAAGCTACAACAGTCTCTGCTGTGTCTCAGTTCTCTAAAGGAGCACAGACCCTGGGTGAGTGGCCGGAACCCCCCTGGAATCTTGCAGAAAGTGGGGATGGCACCCAACTTTTGTAAGGAAACCTCACCCTCATTTTCCCCTCAATATTCCTCCGTTGCAGGATATCTGACAGCCACGGGATAGGGGAAAATCCTGCTGTTGCAACTTCTATCAATGCACGCATGCGCTCTGATCTCTCTCTTGTTAAAGGTCCCGCTCTGGGACAAACGGATCAAAATGCAATGAGCACAATGGTGGAAATGCATTTTCATTCAGAAGCCAGAAGGAGGGTGGGCAGAGGGAGATCTGGCTGCCAGTGGAGTTTCAGTGCTTTGGGGGGCAGCGTGATATTGTCTCAAAGGCAGAAGCATAGCTCAGGGGGCACAGATATTCCCCACTCCCTATTATTATTACTTTGTGGTTCCATTATGCCAGGGCTAGGGAAGGCGAGGCTCAGCAGATGATGTTGGCCTCCATTGCCCATTGCCCCCTGCCAGTGTGGTCAATGACCAGGGATGATGGGAGTTGTAGTCCAGCAACATCTGGAGGGTCACACAGTGTGGTGTAGTGGTTAAGAGCGGTAGTCTTGCAATCTGGGGAACCGGGTTCGCGTCTCCGCTCCTTCACATGCAGCTGCTGGGAGACCTTGGGCTAGTCACGCTTCTCTGAAGTCTCTCAGCCCCACTCACCTCACAGAGTGTTTGTTGTGGGGGAGGAAGGGAAAGGAGATTGTTAGCCGCTTTGAGGCTCCTTCGGGTAGGGATAAAGTGGGATATCAAATCCAAACTCTTCTTCTTCTTCCCCATCCCTTGCACTATGCCTTTGGTGGTACTATGATGCCTTCTGACAAAACAGGAGAATTTTGGTGATGGGTTCTGAACAAGAAAACTATAGCTCTAGCTCTGTATCTAGATAGATTTAGATAAAAAGGAATGCCTACCTTAAAAAAGAAAGTGGTGCTGTTGTTCTTATTGCTGCCTGGGCTGCCATTATACAAGGAAGCAGCAACAACCCACTGCAAAGTCCCCCAAAAAGGAGCACTGTATTTTTCCGTGTATAATATGCCCCCATGTAAAAGACACCCCCTATTTTGGGGGACTCCAAATTAAGAAAACACCCCTGAGCACTACCTGTGTATGAGACGAGCCCCAATTTTAAACCTCTTTTTTTGGTCAAAAACCCAAACCCCTAGTCTTATACACGGAAAAATACGGTAGGTAGCAGAGAGGCAGATGAATTAAAATGTTACAACAACGTCTTTTTAAAAAAATAATATTTATTGAGATTTAAAAGATTACAAAAAGAAAAAATAGATAACAACATGTTAAACAGAAAGACAGAACATCATGTCACAATAACGAAGAAAGAGAAAAAAAAGAAAAAAACCAAAAACCAAAAACCAAAAAACCAAAAATATATACAACAAATCTTCCCATAATTTATCTTTCATTTGCTTATTTCTTTGACCTCCTCACGCCCTTTTTGTATTCCTCCTCCCCTTTTTGTATTCTAGTTCAATTAGCTATTTCAGCAAGTCCTTTCCATCTTTTCCAGTTTTTATCCTCTATTTTATCTTAATATATTATAGCTTTACTTTCCCTCCTTTCACCATTTAACAATCTATTTTTTCTTAAACCTTTATAGCATTTCTGCTAAAATCACATTACTTCATTCCAACATCCTTCTAACATTCTTTAATTTTACAATGTTTCTGTAAATAAACTTTAAATTTCTTCCAATCTTCTTCCACCGACTCTTCTCCCTGGTCTCGGATTCTGCCAGTCATTTCCGCCAGTTCCATATAGTCCATCACCTTCATCTGCCATTCTTCCCGGGTGGGTAGATCTTGTGTCTTCCAATACTTCGCGATGAGTATTCTTGCTGCTGTTGTAGTATACATAAAGAAAGTTCTGTCCTTTTTTGACACCGATTGGCCGACCATGCCCAGAAGAAAGGCCTCTGGTTTCTTCAGAAAGGTATATTTAAATACCTTTTTCATTTCATTATAAATCATCTCCCAGAATGTCCACCAAAGGTGAAAAAATGTACCTTCCGTCTCTTTACATTTCCAACATTTATTATCGGGCAAATGATATATTTTTGCAAGCTTGACTGGTGTCATGTACCACCTATAGATCATTTTCATTATATTCTCTCTTAAGGCATTACATGCCGTAAACTTCATACCTGTGGTCCATAACTGTTCCCAGTCAGCCATCATAATATTATGTCCGACATCTTGTGCCCATTTAATCATAGCTGATTTCACCATTTCATCCTGAGTGTTCCATTTCAACAGCAAGTTATACATTCTTGACAAATTCTTAATTTTTGGATCTAACAGTTCAGTTTCCAATTTTGATTTTTCCACCTGGAAGCCAATTTTTTTATCCAAATTGTACGCCTCCATTATTTGATAATAATGGAGCCAGTCTCTCACTCTATTTTTTAGTTTTTCAAAACTCTGCAGTTTTAATCTGTCTCCCTCTTGTTCCAAAATTTCCCAATATTTTGGCCAATTGGCCTCCATATTGAGCTTTTTCTGAGCCTTCGCTTCCATTGGTGACAACTACCTTGGGGTTTTGTTTTCAAGCAAGTCCTTATATCTTATCCAGACATTAAACAGTGCTTTTCTGACAATATGGTTTTTAAACGCTTTACAACAACTTCTGTGCCAAAAGGATGTATATATGCTGGAAGCTGCTCAGAGTGGCTGGGGCAACCCAATCAGATGGGTGGGGTGCAATTATTATTATTATTATTGATTTAGGTTTTTTTAAAAAAGAAAACAAATTCCTTCTTGCAGAAGTATGAAGGAGTTCCTGTTCCAAACAATCACCCCAATTTGTCACATTGTGCTGCCTTCTGGAGATTTGGGGGCACATCCAGAAGTACCAGGAAATAAGATGCCATTCAGCTGCTCAGCCATTGCTTAAGCACTTTTAAAATTCCATGGGAGGTTCTTACACATATGTTTAATGCCTTCTGAAATCACTCAGTACAATTTAAAGGTGTGCTTGCCTTTGCCCAGGCGAAAACCTTCATTTTTGTTGACCCGTGTTGACGGCTGCTCCCTTCTCCCTCAGAATTTTCTGAAACATGTAAGGGGTTTTGTCTCAGTCTTCCATCCAACCTTCCCTAAATAAATTTGATGAAAAGAACCCTGCTTCTTAAAGCTGCCCCAATTTCCAGAGTCAAAGGAACTGGAGCATTATGCTGTTTTGATTTTGTAGATCTCAAGGTGGATAATTTAACCTTGAATTATGTATCAAAATCCCCTGTTTCAGCATAAAGGCTTCCTATGTGAGCATTTAATGAATAAGACCCTTATGGCTGCAGAGAAGCTAGATTTATACATTCCATTAAACATGCTCTTCACAGGCTAATTAGCCGGTAATTTCACCCTTGCTTGTAATATACACCAGTTTATGGTCAATAATAGTAAAATGTATGTAAACCATGCTCTTTATTAATAAACATTATGTGCTTCTGGCTTTCCAATAAAGTAATGGATGACTCTTCTCCCTCTCATTGCCTCGGTGCTGTCAAAAAGTCAGAAAATTGGAAATATCCATCGAATGCTTGGATGTGAAAAGGGAAATTATGTGCAAGATGTACAGGTTCCACTGGATAAGTCCA